CGTAGTCTACCATCAACCACCCACCTCCGTAGTCTACCATCAACCACCCACCTCCATAGTCTACCATCAGCCACCCACCACCTTAGTCTACCATCAACACCCACACCCACCTCCGTAGTCTACCATCAACCACCCACCTCCGTAGTCTACCATCAACCACCCACCTCCGTAGTCTACCATCAACCACCCACCTCCGTAGTCTACCATCTGCCACCCACCTCCGTAGTCTACCATCAGCCACCCACCTCTGTAGTCTACCATCAGCCACCCACCACCTTAGTCTACCATCAACCACCCACCTCCGTAGTCTACCATCACCACCCACCTCCGTAGTCTACCATCAGCCACCCACCTCCGTAGTCTACCATCATCCACCCACCTCCGTAGTCTACCATCTGCCACCCACCCTCCATAGTCCTACCATCTGCCACCCACCTCCGTAGTCTACCATCAGCCACCCACCTCCGTAGTCTACCATCAGCCACCCACCTCCGTAGTCTACCATCAGCCACCCACCTCCGTAGTCTACCATCAACCACCCACCTCCGTAGTCTACCATCAGCCACCCACCTCCGTAGTCTACCATCAGCCACCCACCTCCGTAGTCTACCATCAGCCACCCACCTCCGTAGTCTACCATCAACCACCCACCTCCGTAGTCTACCATCAGCCACCCACCTCTGTAGTCTACCTCTGCCACCCACCTCCGTAGTCTACCATCAGCCACCCACCTCCGTAGTCTACCATCTGCCACCCACCTCCATAGTCTACCATCTGCCACCCCACCTCCGTAGTCTACCATCAGCCACCCACCTCCGTAGTCTACCATCTGCCACCCACCTCCATAGTCTACCATCTGCCACCCACCTCCGTAGTCTACCATCAGCCACCCACCTCTGTAGTCTACCATCTGCCACCCACCTCCATAGTCTCCATCAGCCACCCACCCTCCATAGTCTACCATCTGCCCCCCACCTCCGTAGTCTACCATCAACCACCCACCTCCGTAGTCTACCATCAGCCACCCACCTCCGTAGTCTACCATCTGCCACCCACCTCCGTAGTCTACCATCAGCCACCCACCTCCGTAGTCTACCATCAGCCACCCACCTCCGTAGTCTACCATCACCCACCCACCTCCGTAGTCTACCATCAGCCACCCACCTCCGTAGTCTACCATCAGCCACCCACCTCCGTAGTCTACCATCTGCCACCCACCTCCGTAGTCTACCATCAGCCACCCACCTCCGTAGTCTACCATCAGCCACCCACCTCCGTAGTCTACCATCAGCCACCCACCTCCGTAGTCTACCATCAACCACCCACCTCCGTAGTCTACCATCAGCCACCCACCTCCGTAGTCTACCATCAGCCACCCACCTCCATAGTCTACCATCTGCCACCCACCTCCGTAGTCTACCATCAACCACCCACCTCCGTAGTCTACCATCTGCCACCCACCTCCATAGTCTACCATCTGCCACCCACCTCCGTAGTCTACCATCAACCACCCACCTCCGTAGTCTACCATCTGCCACCCACCTCCATAGTCTAACCATCTGCCACCCACCTCCATAGTCTACCATCTGCCACCCACCTCCGTAGTCAACCATCAACCACCCACCTCCATAGTCTACCATCAGCCACCCACCTCCATAGTCTAACCATCAACCACCCACCTCCGTAGTCTACCATCTGCCACCCACCTCCGTAGTCTACCATCAGCCACCCACCTCCGTAGTCTACCATCTGCCACCCACCTCCATAGTCTACCATCTGCCACCCGCTCGTTCTGCTGCCTACACCCCCACCCACTCTGCCCACTCTGCCCACCACCTCACTACTGCCCGCCTGCACACACTGACACCTGCCTGACCACTGTTGTCCGCCTCTCCACCCACTTTGCTGCCCGCCCTGCTACTCATCTATCGACTCACTTTCACCTGCCCACCCACACACCATTCACATATTCTTCCCTTACAGAATTTTACATGATTCTAGGGCTGGTGTTTCTGAAAGATTTTCTTTCCTGTCCTACTCACCATCCATCCATCCATCCAGTCCCCTCACCATCTATCCAGTCCCCCTCCATCCATCCATCCATCCAGTCCCCTCACGATCCATCCAGTCCCCCCTCCACCATCCATCCATCCAGTCCCCCTCCATCCATCCATCCAGTCCCCTCACCATCCATCCAGTCCCCTCACCATACATCCAGTCCCCGCACCATCCATCCAGTCCCCCTACACATCCATCCATCCATCCAGTCCCCCTCCATCCATCCATCCATCCAGTCCCCTCACCATCCATCTAGTCCCCTCAATATCCATCCAGTCCCCCTCCATCCATCCAGTCCCCTCACCATCCATCCAGTCCCCTCACCATCCATCCAGTCCCCTCACTATCCATCCAGTCCCCTCACCATCCATCCAGTCCCCTCACCATCCATCTAGTCCCCTCAATATCCATCCAGTCCCCTCATCATCCATCAAGTCCCTTCACCATCCATCAAGTCCCTTCACCATCCATCCAGTCCCCTCACCATCCGTCCAGTCCCCTCACCATACATCCAGTCCCCCGCACCATCCATCCAGTCCCCCTACACCATCCATCCAGTCCCCCTACACCATCCATCCATCCTGTCCCCCTCCATCCATCCATCCATCCAGTCCCCTCACCATCCATCTAGTCCCCTCAATATCCATCCAGTCCCCCTCCATCCATCCATCCAGTCCCCTCACCATCCATCCAGTCCCCTCACCATCCATCCAGTCCCCTCACCATCCATCTAGTCCCCTCAATATCCATCCAGTCCCTCTCCATCCATCCATCCAGTCCCCTCATCATCCATCAAGTCCCTTCACCATCCATCCAGTCCCCTCACCATCCATCCAGTCCCCTCACCATCCATCCAGTTCCCTCATCATTCATCCAGTCGCTTCACCATCCATCCAGTCCTCTCACCATCCATCCAGTCCCCTCACCATCCATCCAGTCCCCTCACCATCCATCCAGTCCCTCTCCATCCATCCATCCAGTCCCCTCACCATCCATCCAGTCCCCTCATCATCCATCCAGTCCCCTCACCCTCCATCCAGTCCCCTCATCATCCATCCAGTTGCTTCACCATCCATCCAGTCCCCTCACCATCCATCCAGTCCCCTCACCATCCATCCAGTTCCCTCATCATCCATCCAGTCCCCTCACCATCCATCCAGTCCCCTCATCATCCATCCAGTCGCTTCACCATCCATCCAGTCGCTTCACCATCCATCCAGTCGCTTCACCATCCACCCAGTCACTTCACCATCCATCCAGTCCCCTCACCATCCATCCAGTCCCTTCACCATCCATCCAGTCCCCTCACCATCCATCCAGTCCCCTCATCATCCATCCAGTCCCCTCACCATCCATCCAGTCCCCTCACCATCCATCCAGTCCCCTCACCATCCATCCAGTCCCCTCATCATCCATCTAGTCGCTTCAGTCCTCACCATCCATCCAGTCGCTTCACCATCTATCCAGTCGCTTCACCATCCATCCAGTCCCCTCACTATCCATCCAGTCCCCTTATCATCCATCCAGTCCTCTCACCATCCATCCAGTCCCCTCACCCTCCATCCAGTCCCCTCACCCTCCGTCCAGTTCCCGCACCATTCATCCAGTCCCCTCATCATCCATCCAGTCCCCTCATCATCCATCCAGTCCCCTCACCATCCATCCAGTCTCCTCATCATCCATCCAGTCCCCTCATCATCCATCCAGTCGCTTCACCATCCATCCAGTCGCTTCACCATCCATCCAGTCGCTTCACCATCCACCCAGTCGCTTCACCATCCACCCAGTCGCTTCACCATCCATCCAGTCGCTTCACCATCTATCCAGTCGCTTCACCATCCATCCAGTCCCCTCACCATCCATCGAGTCCCCTCATCATCCATCCAGTCCTCTCACCCTCCATCCAGTCCCCTCACCATCCATCCAGTCCCCTCACCATCCATCCAGTCCCCTCATCATCCATCTAGTCGCTTCACCATCCATCCAGTCGCTTCACCATCTATCCAGTCGCTTCACCATCCATCCAGTCCTCTCACCATCCATCCAGTCCCCTCACCCTCCATCCAGTCCCCTCACCCTCCGTCCAGTTCCCGCACCATCCATCCAGTCCCCTCACCATCCATCCAGTCCCCTCACCATCCATCCAGTCCCCTCATCATCCATCCAGTCCTCTCACCATGCATCCAGTCCCTTCACCATCCATCCAGTCCCCTCATAATCCATCCAGTCTCCTCACCATCCATCCAGTCCCCTCACCCTCCACCCAGTCTCCTCACCATTCATCCAGTCTCCTCACCATCCATCCAGTCTCCTCACCATCCATCCAGTCTCCTCACCATCCATCCAGTCCCCTCACTATCCATCCAGTCCCCTCACTATCCATCCAGTCCCCTCACTATCCATCCAGTCCCCTCACCATCCATCCAGTCCCCTCACCATCCATCCAGTTGTCCTCCCAAATACAATATTCAAGCATGATCATTCTAGGCGAGTGACACTGGTAAAATGAAATGCACCTCGCACATGCCACTGAGACCCACTCACTCGGTCGACCCATACGTGGCTCATGATGCTAACAAACTCGCCAAGTGAGGTGAAGCTCGTAAATCAAATTGAATTTTTCAAAGAAATTGAGCCCGTAAACTGAAAAATTTGTAAAGGGGGGCTTTCGTAAACCGAGGTTCCACTGTACTTTAAATGTAAAGTGCTCATAGTCCTTGTTCCCTGTGCTTCTCTGAGTGGACCAGGTTCTGGCTTGTGGTTCCTGGTAGGTGTAATAACCCCAGTGACTGATGAGTCCAAACTAATATAGCACATACCAGTTCAGATAGCTTCAGGGCGCCTCAGGAGCTCACCCAGAAAATGATATTTCATTGCATTCAATGCTGGGTTTTTTAATATAGCTTATTTTACGTAATCTATTTGTCAAATGTTCTTTCCAGGGCGGAGGAGTGGGACGGTATGTTTGACCCCATATTGGTGGTGGCCTGCTGTGCTGGGATTGGGTTAACACTCTCGTATTTTACACTTGGAAATTCACGGATGCCCCATCACACTCAGGAAGAGGATTCAGGTTTGGCTTGGATTTTGTTTGGTTTTTGCATATTAGGAATTTTCAATAGGAATACCTTTTGTTTTGATTTTTACTGCTAAGTTTTGTGCTTTATTTTCAATACCATATCATGTTGACTTAAGAGCTACAACACTTACGCAAAATCCTTTAAGTGTTGGATTGAGTGGCCCACTGAAAGCCAGTTTTAATAGAAAATATCTAACATTTGGTGTGTGGACTTTTTGAGTACCATTTAGCCATAATAGAATTCTTAAAGACCTCTTTAATGTTTAAACATATAACAGCCATACAAATTATATTGATGCTTCCACTTTATAGAATGGCAGATATTTATCATACAATACAGTACTTTGAAAGATTTTTTTAATGTGATCATTTTAGAATTCTAATACAGTACCGTATGGTTATGGATATGTAATAACTATTCAGGTAGTTAATTTATTCATATCCTTTATTAAGTTATAAAAAAGTGCAGTGTTTTAAAGGATTTAATGCTAAATAAGTTGTCAAACAAATATACCATTCAAACTGATTAGGTATTAATTGCGTTGTATGAATGCAGTAGATTATGATCACCAAATTAATAAATCAATGCTAAGAGTAGCATAATTTATTGTGAAATAATGTTCTAGAAAGATAAGTAATTTAACATAGAGCTTTATTATAAATGTTATATGTTAATGATAATAATAATTAACTTTTAACAATAACGTTGAATTTTATCATTCTGGCCCATTATCAGAAGAACTGCAAAACAATGTAAATACAGTACAGTACAGCGGAACCTCGAGTGACGAGCGATCCAGTTATGAGCATTTCGAGTAACGAGCCAGCCACTCGCAGAAAATATGTCTCGACTGACGAGCTTTCGCTCGATTAACGAGCGTTCCCACTGGTTCTCGGACACCTCTGACAACAGTTTATTTGTTGTTTTGCAAGACGAGTTTTCCACATGACGAGCTCGGTGCCAGAACGGATTAAGTTCGTTAATCGAGGCACCACTGTATATGTAAAGAGTGAAGTAATGCTAGACATTTCAACTGTGATTTTACAACCAGTAATATTTCTGGTGGGTGCACCCCCCCAGTGCCCCCCCCCTCTGCAGCTATCTTTCTGAAATTGCTCACTACTAAGAGGTCATAAGTCATGGAAGTTGTGTTTGGCCTACTGAGGACCAGAGCCAGAACTTGGCCCTCCCCTCATAGAGGTGCAGCAAGCAGGTGCCAATCTTCCATCCCACTAGAATAAAAACTCCCGTCAGTGCAGCTTTACAGACAACTGGAAAGTTCACTGAAAACGAAACCATGATACTAGCAAACAACTCCACAAATGATTCACATAGAACAACTGATTCCCATTTCAATTCTGTTGCTGGTGCACACTGTAATTACCTAAGTGTATTTTTGACCAACCACACACTAGAAATTGAAGGGACGACGACGTTTCGTCGTCCCTTCAACGTTCGTCCCTTCAATTTCTAGTGTGTGTCTGGTCAACATACTTCAGCCACTTTATTGTGACTCACCGCCTACCTAAGTGTAGTTACAGGATGAGATCTACGCTTGTGGTGTCCCAATTTCCCAGTACTCTTTGTCGTATAACGCTTTGAAACTACTGACAGTTTTGGCCTCCACCTTCTCACTTAATTTGTTTCAACCGTCTACCACTACCATTTGGGCACCATACTGCATATTCCAATTTTGGTATCACAAAAGTTATGAACATTTTCTTTAGCATTTCACCATCCATATACAGTGACACCTCAGCTTACGAATGTCCCATTTACAAATTTTTCGGGATACGAGCCTAATTTCTTTGTAAGATGTAAATCGGCTTAAAAGCTTTACCTCGAATAATGTAGTTTGTTGATATGCGTATGGGCGACCTAGCGTGTGGTTCCTGGTGGCACCATCGCCCACGCTGCAGTTTACCAGTGCCTCCTGCTTAGTGATGATCACACATGAATTCTTTGTAAAGAATTTCATTGTTTTTCGGCTTTTTTGGGTTTTGAACATGAAAGTAATTATTAAATATCATGCCATGGGTCCCAAGAAAGTCAGTGGTAAGGTTCAACCTAAGAAAACACATGTGTGGATGACCATAGAGCAAAAACAAGAGATCATTCGTAAACATGAAAATGGTACACGGGTTGTTGAACTAGCTAGACAGTACAACAAATCTATGTCAATGATATGCATGGTAATTGTTAAAAAAAAGGACATATGAGTGCTAAAGTGGCAAAAGGCATATCAACAATCACAAAACAAAGAACACAAACACTTGAGGATGTTGAAAAGTTGTTATTAATTCAGATTCACAACAAGGAGTTAGCAGGTGATAACAGGTGATAGCTTTTCAGAGGCCATCATTTGTGAAAAAGCAAGGCTATTGCATGAAGACCTGTCAAAGAAAACTCTTGGAACAAGTGGTGCAGATACTAAAGAGTTTAAAGCGAGCAGGAGATGGTTTGAGAAATTTAGAAAAAGAAGTGGCATTCACAGTGTTGTGAGAGTTTGAGTGTTGTGTGTTGTGAGTTGGTGGAGGAACATTGTGAAGAACTGACCGCCAGAAAACTCTTAGCCCTTCACAAGGAGCAGCAACAAGAGACAGCTGAGGAAATTTCTTCAGGGGAGGTGGAGGCGGTACAGAATGTCCCTTCCTCAACAATTAGGCACAGGTGTAGACTATGGGGAAGAAATGCAAACTTTTGTTCAAATGACTCGCCCAGAGCAAGCTGTAGTAGGCAGTTGCCTTAACCTTTTTAATGACACTGTGATGCCTCACTGCAGACAAGTGTTACAACGTAGGAGGAAAAACAAGTCTCTATGGAAAGGTTTTTAGTGAGAAAACAAGCAAGGAGCCACAACAAGATCCTAGTGGTATGCATGCAAAATGTAGGAGAGAGAGGGAGAGGGGGAGAGAGAGAGAGAGAGAGAGAGAGAGAGAGAGAGAGAGAGAGAGAGAGAGAGAGTGTGAGAGTGTGAGTGAGAGTGTGAGAGTGTGAGAGTGTGAGAGTGTGAGAGTGT